GAGATCAAGGAAGACAGCACCTATGGGCTCGTGTCCAACATACATTTAATCTTTTCCACAAAGACACAGTTAGCTGTCTCAGTGGAGTGGTGAGCACGAAAACCAAACTGCATTGGGTGGAGTCGAGCGAAACCTTTGTCTAAATGTTTGGTGATTAGTTTTGACACCCATTTCTCAGCTATCTTAGAGACACAGGGGAGGAAGCTGATAGGTCTATAATTGGACATCATTGCCTTATCCCCAGATTTAAAGATCGGTGTCACCGTGGCCATCTTCCAGGATGATGGAACTTCCCTTGTGCTGATAGATTGATTCACTAGCATAGTAATTGGTTTTATTAGACCGTCGATATGTGTCTTTATAAAGTTGGTGTCGAAATCATATGCATCCCTAGCCTTAGAACCTCTTAACCCTTTCAAGCAACAATGCCAAACTGTCTCTGGTGCCAGATCATCAATTGTGAATATTTACTTTCTTTAAAGGTTTTGGAGATCACACAGAAAATGTGAAAAAGCAAGACGTCATTTTGGTCTCAGAGAAACTATAATTCATGGACTAATCAATTAATTAATTAATCAATATAAATAAATAAATAATCATTGAAGAAGAAGTTATACAATATGCTTTTCTTTTCTCATTCAAATACAGTTGGCTACCCCTTAAGGTAAGATCATGTAATGACTTGTTCTTCTTGCTCCGCCTGACTTATTTTTAGCCATGTGGCCGCCTTCCCAGACCTTATCAATAAGAGAAAACTACAGTTATTCAAACCTGGAATTGCTTTTTAAAGACCAAAATGCAATGTACTGCAAAACACACACACACACAGACACAAAAACATGAAGGTGGAAACCCACACACAAAAGAAGAAAAGTAGTACAGCAGAGGAGAAACAGAATGAGCAGTAACCAATTAACATCTCAGCGGATAGTACCATGGGTCCAATCCCAGAATATGTGTGAAAAGCTACCGCTGAGAATGGGTGCGAGATTTCTCTCGTGTGCACATAGAAAAACACCCCAGAAACAGGATAAGACCAAAGATAACATGCTTATCCGTATAGGCTGATGCTCTATTAGGATTATTTTACAGAAAGTGTGCCTATTCTTGTTCTTGGATGAGAGTCAATCACTGCCTCCACAAGCATCTCTGTGTTCTTTTACTGAATTGAATCTGACAACGGCAGAAGACAAAGTCAATTACCAGGGATGTATGTACTGTATATGAAGCGCTACGGGCCACTCTGAAAAGCCTTTGGAACCAAAAAGAACTGTTTCCCGGATGCTACCTGACTGTGTGTGTGTGCGTGTGCGTGTGTGTGCGTGTGTGTGTGTGTGTGTGTGTGTGTGTGTGTGTGTGTGTGTGTGTGTGTGCGTGTGCGTGTGCGTGTGCGTGTGTGTGTAGCATTCTCTAGCGTGTGTGTTCTGCCAAGCCTAAGAAAGTGACATATCAGAGTGGCTTCCTGTATCTATAATTCATAGCGCAGGCTCTAAACAAAGACCAGAGTGTTCGGCTCCCATCAGACGAGCTGCAGGGGAACGGCACTGTTGCTAAAGCTGCAAACAAAATGCAGCAGAGAATCTAGGACCTGGAGCTAATGGGAGGTATTACAGACTGTGATAGTTGGTAAAAGCACACAGTCTGACGGATACATGTGAAATAAGGAATATTATTTTCATCTTCTTCTTTTTTCTCTCTCCACCCTGATGGATTTTCTCTGACCTACATTATCAGGAAATAGACAGGCAGACATGTAAACAGGTCGGAATATGACTCACTGTGCTGTCTACACTTTAACAAAAGCTTTTTCAACACTCTCACATGTTCTTTTGTAGTGATAGACACCTGTAATCATCCCACACTCGCCATGAGGACAATAATGCAAGATGTACTCCAATCATTTCAGAGAGAAAGATGTAAGATTTAAAGCGTCTAGTCTTCTACTTGTGCGTAAGCTTGACAAATTAGTCATATGCTCATCTCAACTAAAGATAGCATTTTTCTTTCATAAATAAAGTGGGGTGATTGTCAAAAATAATTTCATTTTAGTGAAGATGAAATTGATGCTTTAACAGAGATGACTGTGTAATAAAAAATGTGGATCAACATTTTAAAATAAAACCTATTATTATCATTCTTTACATATAAAGTCTATGCTATCATTATTTAGATACTATTTTCTTTATTTCACAACATCATTTTTGAGTCAGTTGATTTAGAGACACAAACATTTGGTGATTAAAAAACCTGGTATTAAGCCAACAAAAACATGTATTTGTATCGATTATTTTGTATCTGAGACATGCTGAGATGATGATAAATGTCATGGAGTCAGCAAACTGCCTTATCAACATCAGTAACACAATAATACAGTATCTGCCTAAGGTTGGCTAGGATAAGCCACTATTGGTTCATGGTTACACCAGACAAAATAAAGCTGCATCAGCGAGGCCCTGGGTGAACTGCTTGAATAAGAGCAAAGGTTGTATTTATTACTTTAGATTTCAGCTTTCAACTGGAACTCTGAAGATAAGTGTGAGTCATTTTTCAATCAAAAACCTGATTCTATGGTGTAGTATGTATCTATGGGTGCTTTTGGACTTTATCTTTAAAAAACAGACATCAGTTTTTAGATAGCTCAACTTTAGTTCTGGGAAAGTGTGAAGGAATTTGTATTATTTATTGATTATTTACTGACTAAATATTAAGTTATTAATTCATTTTAAATACAGATAATTATAACAATAATCTCAGTTGCTTTGCCACAATCTTTATAAAGATACTGAATGTTTTGGGTATGTGTTAACCAGAAAATAAGTCCTTTGAAACACTTGAAATAATTCATACATCCTCTTAAGAATGAAGCTGCTGTTCTTAATGTTGACATCATATTTCAGTTTCAGTAGCATTTCACAGGCCATCACGTATTATATACTTGATCACTCAATAGGACATACTGTTGCTTCTATTTATTCAGTGTATTGAGATGTTTTGACGGCTCCACAGGGCCTTTCAGTTTCAATACCTCCATTATTGGCGGGACATGTGCTGTAATTAAAACGCTACAAATTGTTAGAAGCAGGTGACATATGTGGTGCTCTGAACACAAATTGTCATGGGCTTTAGCTATCAATTTGATGCTTTCTCTAATCATCACAGAGAAAGATGAGCCAGGCATATGAGGTGGGGGGTTGATTTCATAAAGATGTAAAGGAAAAAAAGAGTGGAGACATACAGTGAAGAGAGGTGTGTTGAATATTGAAAAAAGAAAGATAATGACACTAAGAAATTGTATAGACATGGCAATGATAGAGGGGGAAAAGTGGCCTTTTATCACTAATGGATGGATCTTTTCTTATCCATTCATATGGACCCTATGACTCATCCTTTAGAGCAGCCAAAAATAGCTTTCTCACCAACTGCACACACAGTATGTTCTCGTTCATTCGTTTAAACTCAAACACTGAGCAACAATCAGAGGATGTGCAGCATAAGGTAGGAGAGTGTTGGAAGTTGGGAGTGTCATAGTGCACAAGAAATAACATGTAAATGTGTTGCAAAGAAACAGGATTAACTTTAATTAACTTTTTATCGAAAAACATCTCGATGGCTTCATGTTAGCATAAGAGGCCGGAGAGCTTACATGAGCTATAACTGCATTGTACTGTATCTGTAATGTAAGACGGTTAACAATTAATCATCCACTTGACTCGACCTGTAAGAAGGTTGTTTGTCATACAGATGCTGTGACAAAGGTCCCTTGCAAGAGTCATACCAGTGTTATTGTTGTTGTTGCGCTTATATATCAAGAAAACAATTGTTCCGCAAGGATGCCAAACTACAGGGATGTACTGATGTTCAACAATAATCAAGCTGTTACAAGGAAATCCGTGACATTAGTCAGGAGGGAAGGTATACAGAGAGGCGCTGTCCAATCGAGAAAATTATCTGCCCAGAAAATAATATAGAAACACAGGAAGAACAAGATAAATATCAAACTATATACTGGGATAAGCAGAGTAAAATCTATTTGAATGTGATCTTCTGTAAATTGTAAAAATGTTTATTTTTAATAAAATGTGCATGCCTTTTGTTTTTATATAATAGTGTTTACTTTGCTGTAGCAACGTGAATGTCCCTTTGTGGGACGAATAAAGGAATTCCGATTAGGTTTAAAATCATGGTGCACAGTGTATTATTGCTAAATGGAACATGACTAAGGTAAAATAAATATCTGCAAATAGCCCGGTGCTTTCACATTGTTTGTTCACACCTCCCACACTTCCTAGATGGAGGGTGCAAACATTGAAAGGAGACAAATCACATTAAGCACCTAAAAATTGCCGAACCCTGAATTGGAGCGACTAAAGCTGGCAGTTTTTCCGTGGGCAGACGGAGCTCTGCCTCTGCGGACTATTTATCCAAAGCTTACTGTTTACAAGACTTTCAGCTCAACCCTCCAGCTTTTCAACTCGTGAATTTAGGCCATGCCCACACCAATGAGAATACATCTGAAAATCCACTAAACATGTAAAGCAGGTTCCTGGCATACTTGCCAACACATTCTAGTCATTT